CTCCATACAGCCTGAACAGACTGTCGGGGCAAGTGCTGTTAGCGAGCACTTACGAAGGCCGGCACGGCACACGCGGGGAGGGGGGGGGGTCAACACCACGCCCGGGCGCCTTTGTTTCCCGAGTGGCGACGTTGACACACACCACACCAGCATTCGAGGCTGAGTCGACCTAGGGAAGGCCCATGACCGGTTCAGATAATCGTGACTCGTGTTGGGAATGGAACTCGGGTCGTCGGGTTCGTAGCGCAGCGTAGCGCTAACCGCTACACTACCGCTGCCCAGACATACTGGGCCATGCAAATACTCCGTGGCCCAGTATGCTCGGACCCACGCTGAATTTGGATCATGACCAGCGCAGGATTAGGAGCCCCAATAAGGATTAGGAGCTGTAGGAATAACTCGCATACTTCAGACGCCGGCGAGTGCTGGATTCGAATACCGTTTCGGGTCAGAATGAGGAAAAACAAAAGTAACCGTTCTATTTAAGAAATATCTAAATATTTGGTGATGCTATACTGCTGCTGCTGCATTAGCTGTGGTGTGTACAAGCACAAATAACAAAAACAACTGGACAAAAAATAGTTTTTCTCCCTCCGTTTATGGCAGCGTGTTGAGTTTGAAAAAAAAACCCGTATAGAAATGTTTTTTGTGAATGGCTTGCAGTCAGTTGACGGCAGCGGTATTCAGGGGAGCGTCTGGGATGTGAGTAATCATCAGGAGTCTCTCCTCTTTACTGCATCCTGTAACAGTAATAAAAATACGTGCAAGATGTGATTTTCTAGGAAAAAACAAATCTATATACTACAATTCTCCAGACACCACCTTTTGCGTAGCATCATCACTCGTCTTCGTATCCAGCCCGCGCGCACTTTCCCCGCCTGATGATTGGAACAATTCGTGCGAAACAATGGGACGTGTGTCGTAGTGGGGGGGAGGTGGCAGGGAGGGACTTTGGAGACGCGGAATAAATCCGCGTGCCGTTTTTTTTCTCTCTCTCTCAATGATTTCCAGCGCCGCCACCGCCGCGGATTACAATGCATCGCACGGGATTGGGGTGACACGTGCGTTTGGCGGGTGCGGCGGTTGCACAAGGCCTCCTGGGTTTCTTGGCGTAGGTGGGACGAAAGCGCGGAGAGGAAAGGACGCGGGGGTTGAGTGACCCTTCGTGGGCGGGCAGGCGGGGAGGAACGCATCGATTGCAGCGTCGCCTTCATCGGGAGGTTTCGTCTTCTCCCGAGACTCGCGACGAGAGCGGCGCAAACGTCGCACGCTCGTCATTGGCACGGCTTGCCGCGTGCGCAATAACAGGGACAAGTTGGAATTTAATTATCGGAGCGCTGCCCTGCCAAAAAGGCAATTTCTGGCTTAGGGATAATCAGTGCGCGTGTTTTAACGAGGGGTGCGCACGTGAAGCGAAAAAAAATCCTAAAAGTCCGGGGGCCGGTAAACAACAAATCGGGTTTCAGTCGCGCAGAACAAATACTGTACGGGAGGATGCGCGGAGTTCTGCGAGCCAAGACCTAAACACGGCGAGCGTTTAAGCAGCGGCTACGGTAAAGGCGCAGCCCCGCAATTGCCCACTGTGGTGGGCGGTAGGTTCCTGTACTGGGAGAGAGCCCTCCACCCGCCCACCCCCCCCCCCCCCCCCCGAGGCTATTTTCACTCTTTCTCTCTGTTCCACACGTGGCCACACTTTACCCCACGGCACATGGACCCTGCCGATCGGCTGTGGCGAACGCATTTATCGTGCTGGCCGGATGGAGCCGGATGGAGGAGGCGGTGGCGGGGGGAACGGAGGGGTGGGGGCAGGGAGCTTGACAAAAAACTTTGTGCGGTTTCGTCCGTTCATCCACCACACCAGGAATCAAATCGTATCGGTGACCTCTGGGTTGTAAGTCCAGTGCGCTGACCGTTACACCACTGTGGCAGCGTCCCGGTGGTGTACGCGCTTGTGTGTGTGTGTGTGTTCGTGTGTGTGTGTGTGGGGAGCTCGCTAACAGCACTTGCCCCTACAGTCTGTTAAGGTTATACGGGGGATCTTTATCTTTGTGTGGGGAGCGATAGTGTAGCGGTTAGCGCACTGCGCTATGAACCTGGCGACTCGGGTTCGATTCCCGCTCACGGCCAACACCAGTGACGATTATCTGAACCGGTCCCGGGCCTCCCCTAGGTCGACTCGGCCTCAAATGAGTACTTGGTGCGGTGTGTAAACATTGCCACTAGGGAGACAAAGGCGGTCGGGCGTGGTGCTGGCCACCCACCCCCTCGTGTACCAATCCGGCCTTCATAGGTGCTCGCTAACAGCACTTGCCCCTACAGTCTGTTAAGGCTATACGGGGGATTTTTGTCTTTTGTTCATGTGTGTGTGTGTGTTCATGTGTGTGTGTGTGTTCATGGAATGTAAGGTCGACTCGGCCTCAAATGGGTTCCCGGTGCGGTGTGTAAAAACATCGCCACTGGGGAGACAAAGGCGGCCGGGCGTGGTGCTGGCCACCCACCCACCCCCTCGGCTGCCGTGCCGGCCTCCATAGGTGCTCGCTATAACAGCACTTGCCCAGAAGGTCTGTTTAGGCAACATACAGGGAGAGCTTTATCTTTGTTACGAAGTAAAAACTTCAGAATCAGAAACTGCATATTTTCTAGGTACACAACACAAAACTAACTACTGTACTGCGTTCACATACACGCACGCACGGTGGTTCAGACGTGCGAGTGCGCGCGTTCTACTTTCCCGCAGATCTGCGAAATGTGGAATTTCTTTTGGCTCCAATCTGCGTGGCAGCACGAGGCCATGGCAGGAATGCTCTCTTTCTCCGCGCGCACACGCGCTCACGGAAAACTCACTCGCTCATCAATTCCCGCATGCGCGCGCAGTTTTGCCTTTTAACACACAAAGCAATCGCTGTGTAAAAAAAAAAAACCCCATCTGCTGCAAATGTTGTCGAAACTGGCTGTCTGACAGACGATCCACGAACCTGCAGCATCGTGACACGTGTTTGATAAGGCTGCCAGAAAACAAAACGCAAGACCGTTTTCTCGCCGGATTATAAGACGCTCCCGAGAGTATAGTGTCGATAAAGTTTTCCCCATCCGGTCACATGCACGCGCACACATGCGTACACCCACCAGATTACAAGACGCGCCTCCAACTTATATTTTTTTTGCGTCTCAAAATGCAGTGGGGACAGCGTGCATTAACATCCTGAAAATGCGGTATCTTTTAAGTCCATATATATATTTTTTAAGTAGAACCTTTCACTCAAGATTATTTCGACCATCATGTCCAGACGCGACCCAACGTTTGCGTGTTTTACGTGCGTTCTGTGTCTGTGCTTTTCGTGCGTGACGAGGACCACTGCCCAAAAGGGGCAGGTCATCCACCACCTGCCCCAGCTCGCCAGCCCTTCCCCTCGGCCTGTTCCAGGGTTTACGAGCCACGGCCTGGGGGTAGAATGGTTGAGGTGGCTTCTCCTTTTTTTATGAGACACCATCACTGCTTGCGGTTAAACATTTAACACCTAGGACGATATTCTATGGGTATCCCTGTAACAGTATGGGTCCTATGTAATTCTAGGGTCTGTGGATCTTAGTGTAATTCTCTCTTAAGTCTACGGATCTTCATCTAAATGCATGGGTATCTGCGTAAGCCTATTAGGATCTGTGTAAGTCTATGGGTCCCTGTGTATGTCAATGGGTCTCTGTGTAAGTCTATGGGTCTCTGTGTAAGTCAATGGGTCTCTGTGTAAGTCTATGGGTCTTTGTGTAAGTCTATGGGTCTCTGTGTAAGTCTTTGGGTCTCCGTGTCTTCTTCCTCCTGAGTTCTCTGCCTGGGGGCAGGGCCATGGCTCAAGTTCCCCGCCCTCCCCCCCATCCGTTTCGAGCCCGTCGCTCACAACACCACAACACCACACTCCACGCTCAGGTTTCCTCTTGCCCATCCGTGGCAGTGTTGTTTTGGTGACACCATCACCGGATGCAGACTACATTTATATTAATTCGTAAAGAACGATGAATCAAACTGTGGCAACCGCACAAACCGAGAGCACATGTTGACGGTTAAACTCTGCAATCTGGGAAGCCGATTGCGAAACGCAAGAAATTCAGTTAGAGAAAAAAAAATCCCATTCTGACATCTTGCCTCGTGACCGTGTTTACGTGGTTCGGCAACTCCGCGTCGTTCAACACATTCGACTCGTGATGTTTACTAATTTACAGCCCCCTTCTAGTCAATCCCCTGCTGGATGAAGGCCTCCCCATGCCCTTTGTCAGTCTTGGGGTATCGTTTGACCGTACGTGGCCACGGCGGTAAATGCTGGCCGACGGAGTGGGTGGGGGCCTGGTACTGGTTCAGACATCACTCGTCACTGGCGTTAGCCGTGGCTGGATATCTGGACGCTGGACGGCGGGTTCAGAGTGCGGCGTTGCTGCTCCACCCCTTGAGACAGATTGCGTCTGCAACTGGCTTGGGTTTCCCCATGACCGGTTTCAGTGGCGTCATCGTCATTAGCCAAGATCGATCAACTGTGAATGAAGGCCCCACAAACTTTCACGGTCCTGTGATGCAACAATCTGTCCGGCCCCTGCAATAGAAGGTGATCTCATCGCTCTATATCCTCTCAGGCACGTTCCCTCCCGGCCACGATGGACGCGAATGATTGTGGTGCACAATTTGACTCGTGTATCGCGAGCTAACAAAAAATCGATGGATTGGTGAATTGTTCCACCGCTGGTGCTCGCAAACAGCACTTGCCCTGACAGTCTGTGAAACAAAATAATTGATGGGTATCTGTGCGTGCGTGTGCGCGTGCTCGTGCAGTGCGCACGGCGTGGGCTGAGAGCGTCATCACGTGGCCGGGAGAGCAGCCCCTGCACCTGCATGGCGCTCGCGGTGATGCGGATTCGTACCACGGCGAGTCTCCGGCCCCGCCGCCGCCGCCGCCGCCGCCGCCGCCTCCACACTCCCGGCCACTGCCCCCCGCAACCGCCGCTCCCCCCCTCGCCCCCGCACCCCCCATGGACAGTGCCCCCGCACTGCCGGCCCCCCCCGGCCCCGCCGCCCTTCGACCCCCAGCCCCGCGAGGCCGCCAAGCGCGGAGCGGCCCGCCGAGCGACGCTCCCTCGGCTGCCGCGGGTCCCGGCGTCCCCGGCTCGTGGAGGCCCCCGCGCTGCTCCCCGTCCACGTCCCCCGGCGTCTCGTCCGCGTCGCCCTCGCTCTCGTCCTCGTCGGCGGCGTCGCCGTCGTCGCCGTCGTCGGCGTCGCCCAACTCCGTGCCGTCGTCGCCGACCCACGCCGGGCCGTGCCGGGGCACGCGCAGCCCCAAGGGGTCGCCGGCGCCGCCGCTCTCCCCCGACCCCTCCAAGCCGGATGACCTCAAAAAACGGTGAGCGGCGTGTGCCGTGGGTACACGCACAGGGGGCCCACGGGCTCAAAGGGGCCTCTGGGCGATGGGCCAATGAAGAGGAGGGACATTAAGACAGGGGTGGCAGCCGCCCTCCAGCATCGACGGAGCGATGCTCACGACTTTTGAGCGGAGCACCTGGCAGTTGAAGCACTTGGCGGCTTTGGCTCAAGCGGAGGTCACGCGCAGGCTGAGCAACGGGCAGTTACCCTGAGTGCGTTAATCTGTGACACGTGCACCTATCCAGTGGCCACCTGCCAACGGGACCTTCACCACTCCACGTGCTCTCAAAGTCCACCTATCCAGTCAAAAGCTGATTGCCGCGTGTTATCTGCACCTGGCTTTGGGGTTCCTCTCGATCAACTCAGCCTAAAATAAGGGTCCGGTGCGAGTGTCACAATGGACATCAGGTATTGGGGAGATTGCAAAAGCAGCCAGATGTAATTAGGTGTTGCTTTTCTGGTCACTTCACTCAATTATGTGCTGTCCCACCCTTAACAGGTGCTGTGCCTCCCTCAATAGGTGCTGTGTCACCCTCAATAGGTGCTGTGCCTCCCTCAATAGGTGCTGTGTCACCCTCAATAGGTGCTGTGTCACCCTCAATAGGTGCTGTGGCACCCTCAATAGGTGCTGTGTCACCCTCAAAAGGTGCTGTGTCACCCTCAATAGGTGCTGTGGCACCCTCAATAGATGCTGTGCCATCCTCAATAGGTGCTGTGCCTCCCTCAATAGGTGCTGTGTCACCCTCAATAGGTGCTGTGCCTCCCTCAATAGGTGCTGTGCCTCCCTCAATAGGTGCTGTGTCACCCTCAATAGGTGCTGTGTCACCCTCAATAGGTGCTGTGTCACCCTCAATAGGTGCTGTGCCTCCCTCAATAGGTGCTGTGCCTCCCTCAATAGGTGCTGTGTCACCCTCAATAGGTGCTGTGTCACCCTCAATAGGTGCTGTGCCTCCCTCAATAGGTGCTGTGTCACCCTCAATAGGTGCTGTGCCTCCCTCAATAGGTGCTGTGGCACCCTCAATAGGTGCTGTGTCACCCTCAATAGGTGCTGCGTCACCCTCAATAGGTGCTGTGCCTCCCTCAATAGGTGCTGTGTCACCCTCAATAGGTGCTGTGCCTCCCTCAATAGGTGCTGTGCCTCCCTCAATAGGTGCTGTGCCTCCCTCAATAGGTGCTGTGGCACCCTCAATAGGTGCTGTGTCACCCTCAATAGGTGCTGTGCCTCCCTCATTAGGTGCTGTGGCACCCTCAATAGGTGCTGTGTCACCCTCAATAGGTGCTGTGCCTCCCTCAATAGGTGCTGTGCCTCCCTCAATAGGTGCTGTGGCACCCTCAATAGGTGCTGTGTCACCCTCAATAGGTGCTGTGCCTCCCTCAATAGGTGCTGTGCCTCCCTCAATAGGTGCTGTGGCACCCTCAATAGGTGCTGTGTCACCCTCAATAGGTGCTGTGTCACCCTCAATAGGTGCTGTGGCACCCTTAACAGGTGCTGTGTCACCCTCAATAGGTGCTGTGTCACCCTCAATAGGTGCTGTGCCTCCCTCAATAGGTGCTGTGCCTCCCTCAATAGGTGCTGTGGCACCCTCAATAGGTGCTGTGCCTCCCTCAATAGGTGCTGTGCCTCCCTCAATAGGTGCTGTGCCTCCCTCAATAGGTGCTGTGGCACCCTCAATAGGTGCTGTGTCACCCTCAATAGGTGCTGTGCCTCCCTCATTAGGTGCTGTGGCACCCTCAATAGGTGCTGTGTCACCCTCAATAGGTGCTGTGCCTCCCTCAATAGGTGCTGTGCCTCCCTCAATAGGTGCTGTGGCACCCTCAATAGGTGCTGTGTCACCCTCAATAGGTGCTGTGCCTCCCTCAATAGGTGCTGTGCCTCCCTCAATAGGTGCTGTGGCACCCTCAATAGGTGCTGTGTCACCCTCAATAGGTGCTGTGTCACCCTCAATAGGTGCTGTGGCACCCTTAACAGGTGCTGTGTCACCCTCAATAGGTGCTGTGTCACCCTCAATAGGTGCTGTGGCACCCTTAACAGGTGCTGTGGCACCCTCAATGGGCGCTGTGCCGTCCTTAATGGGAGCTTGCTAAATGTAATTTCCCCACAGATGCTTGTCTCTCGTAGGTATCGCTGAACACTGGTGATTCGCAACCGTTGATATTTGACACATTCACGAAGCCGCAGTGTGGCATGGACCCACACACAAAAACAAGGATGTGCTCATCATTTAAAACGCGTAAAGTTCCATCGTTTCTTGACCGCGTTGCGATCAACGTGCGCTTTCTTCAATCGATGAGACTTGCAGGTTGTTTTATTTGGGGTTGCTGTCATTCGTAATGTTTTATAATTGGCCGGAACGTTTTTCCAATCTTCACCGTTTCCCATTAAAGCAGTACATAGTGACCCACCCCAGCTTCATCATTATCATCATTATTATTCACTGACGACGTTGTGGGGGGGGGGGGGGGGGGTGGAGTTGGCAGGGGGGGGGGGGCTGTGTGGGTGCAAGGGGAGAAGGGAGAGAAAATATCCGTGAATTAAGCTTAACGGGGGGGGGGGGGGGGTGGGGGTGATGATTGGAGCTAAGAACGTGATCCACTTCTTATTCGATTGACGGGGATATTTAAATTCCCCTTACGGATGAAAGGAGCAGCCGAGAAGAACGAGGAGCCATTCGAAGCGCTGCCCTCTTTGTCGCACTAATGATTGACGTCAGTCAGATTCTCTCTTGCTCAGAGTTCAACCACCGGGTGTCAGCTAGGGCTGAACCATTTGGTGGAAAATATTTAATTGCGATTTTTCTGACAGATATTGCGTTTCGATTAGCGATTACATTTTTTTAAGTCAAGCTTCAGTTCAATATTCACTGTGTAATAGAAAAAAACACGTGATGGAGCATTACCACGTGATACCATCAAAATATGAACTGCTCTATATATTCTAATGCAAGGATGAGAACTTAAAAGCTATGAATTGCTTCCAACACGTATTTATTAAAATGTTTTAATTGAAATAGAACAATCAAACATATAACAATTGTTAAGTTAAATAAATAAAGCTATAATAATAATAAAAAATAAAGCAATTCCAATAAGAAAGTAATAGGACTTTTCAAATCGTGAAAAATCGCCGCCTTTGCGATTTACTAATTGCATTGTTTCAAAATTCGATTTGAAATCGATTAATCGTTCAGCCCTAGTGTCAGCTGCCTACCGTATGGATCAGTTTGGGATGTATTTTTTAAATAATTAATTACATTTCAATGGATCCGTTCGGATCTCTCGCAGGCCATGTCTGCCTTTAGTGTTAAAGAGTGGCACGTGGAAGTGGATATCACGGAGCTACGTCTGAAGTCCCTTTAAGTGACCTCTGGTCCACACAGTTGAGGGCAGCACTTTCCCACTCGCCCTGCCCCTGAGAGGAATGTTCACCGCACGACGGTCAAACCCATCTTTAGAATTCTCAGGGCCGGAATTTCGCATAATTCATCGCAGAACCAGATTTATTGCGATGGTTATTGCGTGCGCCTGCACTGACAATCATCAACTCGACGCATGTGAGAACCCGGTTGAATCACAGATGGCCAAAGCTTGGATTCGAACCCAGGATGCCGACGCTGGCGTCTCGGTGGTCCGACCTCTGAGCCACCCGTGCACTTTTAGAGGGCGCGTTTTAACAGCGGCACCGCGCTCTTGCCGTGGGGTTTATGCTGCCGAGCGGTGAAAATAACTCGAAACGAGAAATTCCCACGAGCCTGATAGGGCCCTGTCCATTGTGACCTCGAGCCAGCAGCCTGGCGCCGTTTGCAGGCAGTGCGGAGCAGCGGTGGAGAGAGCGCGTGGCAACCACGATAAGCAAACGTCGTTCGCCCCGCGGACGGCGCGCTGAGGTCACTCCGCTCGTGGTTAAACGCGCGCCGTTTCGCGTGGGATATTCGTCATGCAAGCGAATCGTGACGGGGGGGGGGGGGGCGGGGGGCGGGGGGGGCGGGGGGCAAAGCGCACACGTGCCGCGAGTTCCCGCGTGGGTGGCGGGTGGCGTTTGACCGTGATGCATCCTGTCCCCGAGGCGTCGCGTCCCCCACCACCCCCCCCGCGGTGCGACAGTGGCCGCGTGTTCCTGTCCCTGCCGTCCTCTGACGCTGCTCCGTGCGTTTGTCCCCCCTCGTGTGTGTGTTTTTTTGTTGTTGTTGTTACAGCGCCGGCACGCGGGAGGCGCACAACAAGCTGGAGAAGCACAGGTGAGCGGAGCGGTGGGGGAATGGGGGGTAGTGCACACCTGCGTCGGCGGGTTTGCCGCCTTTCGCGGCGGCGCACGAGCTACGAATGGCTAAAAGCTTCTTCTTCTTCTTCTTGTCGTACGGCTGCTGATGTGGATGCTACACCCAGGTGGTCATGCACGGATAACCGTGTCATCAGGAGCAGCGGAGTAGCGTGTTTGTGGGTCCGTCGGGGCGTTGCGTCGTTGTACCGTTTCCGCGCTCTGTTCCGGATGACCGCAGTCGCACACCGGCTGTGAGAGTTTTTAATTTGTACAAAGCGAAAAACCTCACATTCGTCGACAACAACGGCCCCCGAAGAGAATAACGTGTGCAGTGCAATCGGTTTTTGGGAAGTGGCTCTCGTTCGTGTACGGAGAGGGGCAGCTGTTGCAGAAGGGCCATTCTCTGAAACATCACCTATTTATACGTTTTATATTTCTACCTCGCTTCGAGCAGTGGCTGTCAAGAAAGGCCCACTTCCCGAAATGAGGGCAGTTTCCACAAAAATCTTCCCTGCACGCAATAAAAGTCCTGGTTTTTTTTTTGTCAGCTGCGTAACAAGTCGCCAACCGGGACGGCATTGTGAGATGTCTTCTTCATCTCCCGACCGATACATTCCAGTCATTTGTACTTGAGAGGTGGCAACCTTAGTGGGGCCGATAGCCACGACCGCCTTACCGAGCTCTGTCGATGGCTCGCGGAGGTGCGAGCCCGCTATCGGAAGACGGCGCTGCCAGGTTTGTGCTTTTTGAAAAAAAACGATCACCTGCCATGACCGACCTGGCGACCTGGCCTTGACTCCGGGCCACAGCTAACATCGGCGGCAAGCGCTTATATCTGAACTGGACGCGGAAGAAGCCTCCTTCGTCAACCCGCACCGAAGCAGCTTGGCGAAGTGTGATCAAAACAACCCCGTTGGCGCACGTGGCATGGGGGGGGGGGGGCCTTTGTCCGGCATTGGACTGGATTGACAAAGGGGCTTTACATTTTTTTCATAAAAAATCCTCACCGGCTGGTGAGGATGCCCTTATCTGTTGGTATGGGTGGGGGGCCATCGGCGGGAGGGTGCGGGGCTGATGGGGGGTAAATGCGGGCTGCCGGACGCAATAGTTATTTAAACGTGTGCAAGCCCATAATGTCAAGTTCTACGAGCCGAGCGACATCCAGACTATTCGGCGTCACGAGTGAAACGCGCGATTACCCCGCGAGTCGCGTGTGATCGCTTAAACGTGGACAGCAGCGTCACATGCCTGTCCTACCTGAATGAAAAAAAAAATCGAGGCCATTTATAATTCTGCAGCGGTTAAAGCCTGCGTTCAGAATCGTGCCCCGTGACCAAATCACCCTGATTTGCGCACAATCTCATCGGACCTTGGAAGCTAAGCAGGTATGAGCCCGGTTAATACTTGGGGTTGATGGTGACTAGGGCTTGCCAGGTGTTGTAGGGTGTGGGCTGCGAGGTGTGGCCAGGGGATGGCAGTGTTTGGTGGGGTTTCCTCCAGGTCCCCCCCCCACCCCCGGCTTACTCAAACATGAATCCAAACTCTCGTTCGTGGAACTGGCAAAAACATCCCAATGTGGTAGGCCCCCTTCCAAAATTATCTTGAGACTCATTCCTGATTGGATATATAATAATAACAACAACAGCGAGCGTGACAATTTCCTGGAAATGTCTGCGCAGCTATTTCTTAGCTGCCGACGCAAAAGCGACAACAAAGAGGAATCCTCAAAAACATTGACGGGCCATTATGAACGTTGGCAGGACCCTCCTGAAAAGGAGTCATGGGACTCAGTCGAGGCTTTCCCGAGTGTCCGAGATTGTTTACATATTTGTTTCAGGTTCAAATTGACACTGTTAAGTCGTTTGCCCTCGGCGGCTTGAGTGTTTAACAAGCGAGCTGGGTCGAGCCGGACGGCTCCTGTCCACAGCGGTTTGCTCTGCCCGCTCCCACCGGCCGGGCCGTCAAAGTAACGCTGCCTCTGTACACATGGCTGGTTTATTCATGAGACCCCATACTGGGCGTGGGAATGATCGAGATACGGGCTTTGTTAATGTAACTTTTTCAACATCGATAATCACGTGTAAAATGGAAAAAAAAATGCTCAAAAAAATCAAGTCGATTATCGGTTTACTGACCGTCACCAACCTGCACGCACCAGAGTAGCGAAGTATGGTCAAACAAGCCCCGTGACTGACACGCCTTGGTAAGGCGTTCATCCAGAAGTGGACTGACGGACGGCCGCACGAATTTAACATAGATTGTGTATGTAATTGGGTTGTTGCATGACCAGTGCCGTATTAACGTCTGCCGACATGACATCACGAGAGGAGGCAAGCACACCACCGATTTTGTTATGCAGCCGATCGGAAAATGGAGTTTCAGATCCCTGGTGCAAACGACGGACGTGCGTTCGTGTGTGCGTGTGCGTGCGCGTGCGTGGGTATCTGCAGGCGGGCTCAGCTAAAGGAGAGCTTCGAGGCGCTCAAAAGGAACGTGCCCAACATGGGCACCAAGAAGACGTCCAACCTCGACATCCTGCGCGGCTCGCTCAAGTACATACAGGTGGACATTGGCTCGCAGCAGCCCCCTCGCGTCCGCACAGCCCCCCGCAACCCCACATACACAGTGCCCTGCATCCCCGCATCCCCAGATCCACACGTACCCGCATCTCCGCATCTCCACGTTCCCACATCCCCACAGCATCTGGACATCCTCGCATCCCCACATCCCCCCCCCACCCCCCCGTGGTGCCCTGGCCCCTCCGGTGAACCGCGACTAACTCCTGGTGCAATTGCACCGCCTGCAAGCGCTCGGTTGCTACTCAACTGATGCCGCCCACGCATCGACACAACCCTGTTTTGGAGGTCCGGAGGGCAGACGTGTCGACGGAGTTTGACGGAGTTGTCGCGTCCTTGTTGGCTGGGTGTGGTTGTCGAGATTCTACAGCCGTGAGCGGTTAAAAGGCCGCCTGTGTTTGCGGCTGTCTGGAGTCTCTCTGGTGTTGCGATTGTTCGCCCGTGTCGGAGCTGTAAGGGACTCTGCGACTGCGCGCGTGTTGTTGTTGGGAGTTGAGCATCTGTGCGGATGTGGAGGCATTGTGCGTGCGTACACGCGCGCGCGCGCTTTTGGGAATCTCGCCCCTGTTGCAGTTGCTGTTGCAGTTTTTTGGGCATCAGTTGCTTGCGGGTGCTAGCCGTCCCGTGGTATCTGCTGATTGCAATTGAAAGAAGACACCTGTGTGGTGCAGTCGTTGGTGGGCTTCGTGTTTACTGCGGCTGCAGGGGTGATAGCTGCGTGCGGTTGTCAGGGACCTCGCTCAGCCGGGCGGTGATGGCCACTCACACCTGCAATGCAGCACTGCGGAGCTGTGGGATTGGTGGATCGCGCACAAATGTTGTGAAACTATTCCCGTGGGCGTCGAGGATGGAGCCCGCGTACCCTGGCTCGCCAGGAAAGGGGCGGTACAGCAAAATGCAGACCTCCACCCGTTCCACCTGTGTGGGGATACAGCGTTGCCGCCTCGCACGTGTAAACACTCATTAATTGGCCGATAATAACCACCCTAATCTGGTCGTGGACCACAGAGCTTTGGGGGGAGAGTGGGGGGGGGGGGGAGCTTTTGGCGCTGGCCCACCGCCTGGCCGCTGGTCCGCGATTCCTGCCGACCTCTCTCCTCGAGCACGAGCGGCTACAGCGCGGTTGAAACCATGACACGATATTGCTTCTCGTGGACGATAAAAAAAAAATTGCAGTTCTTGCACGGTGGCCGGAAGCCTTGTTTTGTTTGCGGTCGTCAGGGTTCTCGCCCGTGTCAAGCGGTGTGCGCGTGGTTGTCCGGCGTCCGCTGTCGGGGAATGCGATCGTTCTGAGTCACGCGGCTGTGCGGTTAAAGCCCCAAGCCTCTGCGGTTATTGGGAATGTCGCCGATTCGGGCTGCTGCTCGCGATCGTTGGGACCGTTGTTGCAACGCAAGCAATCGCCTCCTCCGTGGGCCAAGTGGCAATGACGACATTGATGGTGGTGGTGATGATGACAAATATGATGACGGTGGTGGTGTGATGGTGGTGGTTATAATATTGGGCGTCACCGGCCAATTAACGGCATGTGTGTGTTGCAAGCGGTGCGTGGGGTGCTACATTCACGATCACCCAGCTTCCACCCCCGCCACCCCCATCATCATCTCGCGATGATGATAATGACGATGAAACGTTTACCACATTTACCCAGTCGCACGCCTACTAATGTGTTACCATACAAGACACACGGCGGGGGTTCGCAATTGTTTTTGTTAATGACGTGAGGTTTTAGAACGAAAAACTCATGACGGACTGCATTGATAACGGTGTTCGACATTTATGCAGGAAAGTCACACTTTTCAGTCTCGAAAATCTCCGTTTCAAGAGGTTCCTGCTTTTGGAATGTTTGGCCAATGCCATTAAGTAATGGGTGTTTTGGTACAAAAAAAACACACACACTTAAGTCACTTTTTCACAAACTATCATTGACATTTTAAGAATGTGTATTTGCTTCTGGGTGTCTGCTCTGCTAAAAACTGTTCATTAATGAACTTAAAACGATCCACTGTACAGTGGAGGCTGTGGCCAAATCCGCAATGCCCCTACTACCTTCGTTATAACTCGGAATATTAAGTGGATTGACGACCACGATGCATATCAGGTGTTATAGGCTGGGGAGGGGGGGGGGTCACGTGGTCGGTCGCATAGTGCAGTTCAGAAATAAGTAATTGTTGTACTGCACTTCTATACCCCCCCCCCACCACCACATCTATGCTCCCCGTCTCGATCAAGCCGCCACTCGTCAGTGACGATGACGCATTGTCAACTAACCACGACAACCAGCACAGCGTGGGGAGGGGGTTGGGGTGTGGTGGGTGGTGGCGACGATGGTGCTAAAGTGCACCTAGCCTGGCACAAGCGCCGTGTTCACGTCACCGCCACTTAGTGGCGGACGCCGGTTGTTGTTGCAGTCGTGACGACGATTGTAATGCATCAGGTGTAGGTCGTGATGGTGGTAATGATAGTGATGGTAATGATGATAGTGGTAACAGCTGAGGTGATGATGGTGGTGGATAGTGATGGTAATGATGATAGTGGTAACAGCTGAGGTGATGATGGTGGTGGATAGTGATGGTAATGATGATAGTGGTAACAGCTGAGGTGAAGGTGGTGGTGGATAGTGATGGTAATGATGATAGTGGTAACAGCTGAGGTTGATGGTGGTGGTGATTGCGGGAATGATGCTGGTGAAATGAGTGCTAATGATGATGGTATAATATTGGTGGTGGTAATAGTTGTGATGGTGGTAAGTGGTGGTGGTGATGATGACGTGGACGAAGAGGGGTGTCGGGGGGTGAGGAGGGGGGTGAGGAGGGGGAGTGATAGTGGTGGGGGGGTTGGTGAACAGGAGACGAGAGGAGGTCGCGGTGGGTGGGGTGATGGGGGCATCTCGGCCATGTGAGTCGCGCCCACGTGGCCGCGTGTGTGAGTGTGGGTAGGCGGTGCACATCGTGTGTCCGCGTGTGTGTGGGGGACGGTGCCGGATTAAACTCAGTGCGGGGCCTGTAGCAAATGTTCTAAAGGGGCCCTATATATAAAAAAAACCACCCCAACAAATATGAAAACACATACATTTTGTAACTTGCATAGTAAAGTAAGTGTATTTTTTTCATTCGCTATACAGCTGGATAACACGACAAATCGCTAGCCCTAAACACCCTAGTCGTTCGTAAAAGTTGAAGGCGGTATAGTACTATAGTAATAGAGCAAGTGCAGAATCACTGAACCAGAATTGATAGCTTGAAAACATTTAGAGCGGGGCCCTTGAAAGTGCGGGGCCCGTAGCTACTACATATGTAGCTACTTGTGCTGCTAGGATAATCCGGCACTGCTGCTGGGATGTTTAATATCAGCACTGTGGAGACAAAGGCGGCCGGGCGTGGTGCTGGCCACCCACCCACCCCCTCGTGTGCCGTCCCGGCCTTTCCAGATGCTCGCTAACAGCACTTGCCCCAACAGCCTTGGGCTTGTTTAAAGGCTACTTGGGGTGAGGGGGGATCTTTATCTTTGTGGGTGTGTGTGTGTGTTCGTGGTGGTTTAGTGGTTTAAGCGCACAGTGTTACCAACTCGGCGACCTAAATTCTATTCGTGGCCGCAGCTAAAATCAGCGACGATTATCTGAACGGATCATGGCGCCCCCACGTGTAGTTTTACACTATGTAACACGATTTCTGTTCCTTGGTAGTAAGTGTTATTTTCTAATTGCGTATGCCTCAAAAGTATAGAAAATGGTGCTATTATTCCCCATCAACTTTGCTTTTGTGACCAGGACTTTACGTGAAGGTATGACCACAAATGCACACCACGTTTTCTCATTGAAAACAAGTACATTTCAAAATATCACTGTCCTGGTCACAAAAGCAAAGTTTGTGGGGAATCATAGCCATTTTCTGGACTTTTGAGGCATAAGCAATTAGAAAATAACACTACCCAGGAATGTTTTTTGTGTGTTTGTTACACAGTGTTATCACTGTGTAACTAACAAATAAACTGGGGAGACAAAGGCGGTCGCGGAAGTGGTTCTGGCCCAACAAACCACTCGTGCTCTGTGGCGACCCTTTTAACGCCACGTGCGTTCAAACTGTTCAAGTCTCCGCCGGCATGCGTGGGGCAAATCTTTGGCGTTATGAATGGGCGTGGTGGTGGTGGCGCTGATGTGGAAGGCATTGGCCGAGAGGTCAGTTGTGGCCCGAGTTTTCGATTCTCGCTCACGGCCAACGAGAGTGACGACAATTTGGTACTGGGGGGCGGGGGGGGAGCTCCTCATCCTCCCCTAAGTCGACTCAAGCGGTGTGTAAACATCGCCACGAGGGAGACAAAGGCGGCCGGGCGAGGGTTCTGACCACTAATATCCCCCGTGTAGCCTTAACAGACTGTTGGGGCAAGTGCTGTTAGCGAGCAGCTATGAAGGCCGACACGGCACACGAGGGGGTGGGCCACCAACCACGCCCGGCCGCCTTTGTCTTCCCAGTGGCTATGTTTTTACACACCGCACTTAGGTACTCATTGGAGGCTGAGTCGACCTAGGGGAGGCCCGGGACCGATGCAGATACTCGTCACCGGCGTTGGCCATTTGAGAGCGTGAATCGAACTCGGGTCGCCGGGTTCGTAGCGCAGCGCGTAGCTTCTAACCGCAACACCATCGCTCCCCGTGGGTTCAGGCCACAACCCCCACCCCTTCTTCCCGTGCCTTGACAAGCGCTCGGCGACCATCACTTGCCCCAACAACTCTGTTGAGGCTACAGGGGCGGGGTTATAATCTATCTTTTTTTTCGTGTGCGTGTTGGTGGCGTCAGCCTTCTTCGATAGGCGGCCACGTGCTCGCGTCCACGTGGCGCGCAGAGCAGCTGACTCGGGTGTCTTGGGTGCGCCCGCATGCACAGTGGTGGTGGTGTTATTAATCACTCACACGCACCCTGGTCGTTCAACAGACTCGTAAACAACTCCACCCCACACCTACTTCAACTATCGAGCGTGCGTGTGTCC